CATGGCATTTAGTCAAGCTCTCCTTCCAGGGATTTCCATTGTGATAGTAACTTCCTGATCCCTGCTCTGCCGGGTGATCTCAGAGGCTTCTCCTCCCTCTGCAACACAGTAGTGCAGGTAGAATTCCTACTTTGTCAGATAACAGAGGCAGTGTGCTGGGGTGAAAAGAGAGATAATGGACATCACATTTTATAGACCTGGTTTTAGACTGTGGATCTGAAACTATTTGGTTTGGTTGACTTTTGGTCAGTTACTTAGCACCTGTGCACCTCAATTATCTCAGAAAATAGAAACATCACCTATGTTAACAGTTGCTGAAAAAATTCAATTAAGTAATATAAGTGCAGGGGAATGAGGAGTAAATGGGTGAAACTGCATGGAGAAAATGGATGCATTTTCTCAGAAAATCTATTCCCAACTCCATGTCCCTCTGATAAATAAGGGCATTATGATTTGCTTAACAGAGTCAGCATAAGGACACACTATTTACAAGAAGACTCTAAATAAACCACACAAAAGTAAAAATTTAAGCCAGAGGGCAATGAAAAGATCAAAGAAAATGATTTTATATGTGTGTGTGTACTTCATATGCATTCATTCATTTATTGAGTCATTTACTGAACACCTTCTATGTGCTTGATTTACTTAAGTTCTATTTATTTACTCATAACTAGAACTTATGGGCTCCGTATGAGCCAACCAGCTAGTGGAGGAGAAAGAAAAGAGACAAATAAACAACTATTAAGTATAAATTATGTTCGATAAGTAATAGAGAGGATGGAGGTGGAAAGCCCATTTAGACAGGATGGTCAGAGAATACCTCTTTGAAGCAATGGCATTCAAACTAAGACAGAAATGAGAACTCAGCCATGTAAAGAGAGGTCGAAAGGAATTTCAGGCAGAGGAACAGAATGCACAAAGGTGTTTTGGTAGAGGGAGTGTGATTCATGAAGGAAATTTAAAGATAGCCCGTGGGGGGGGGGGTCAGAGTGTTGGGAGACAAAGCTAGGAGGTGGTTGAGTGTCAAACCATCTAGCATTTTGTCACCTTGTAATGAGGTTTGCATATTCAAAATCTCACTAAAGGGTGGTAAGCAGGAAGGGGTGAAATGGTCAGATTTTCATTGTGATTCTTTTGAAAACAGAAGACTGATTTGAAGGGCCCAGAATAAACACGAGACAGATTAGGAAGCTGGCCCAAGAGTTCAAGCCAGAAATAATGGTAGTTTGCATTAGGAGGTGGTGGCTGATATGGAAAAAGAGTACAGATTCAGGGGCTATAAAGGAGTCATGAGGTTGGACGTTGTCGTGCCTTAGACATGGGGGAAAGGTGAAGAAGAGAGTCTCAAAGACAATGCCCAAGTTTCTATTTTGAGAAACTAAATTCTCTGAGAAGAAGACCCATTTCAAAGAATCAGGCTTAAATATGTTTTGGGATATAATGAACTTTGGAAGATCTATGAGTAGGGGTGAAGGAGGAAAGAGAAATTAAACAACTGAAGAGACAGCTTTGGGATTCAAAGAGAAATCTGAGCTGGATATAAAAATCTGAGTCATCTGCATGCATGTAATCATGTAATGCCAATGTTGTAAATGAAATCTCTTAGGAAGAAAGCATAAAGTCAAAAGAGGAGAGAGCCTACAACTGAGCCCTGAGTGGCCAGGAAGGGGAGAAAGGGCCTTCAGAGAAAAAAAAAGGGCTGGCAAAAGAGGAAGAAGGGAAATGAGAACAATGTGGTTTCACTGAATCCAATATAGGACTGTTTGAACAAAGGAGAGAGTAGTCAACAATGACAAATACTGTCAGAGTCCAGCATAATAAGTACAGAATGGTGTCCTTTGGAGTTGGCAGCAAGAGATCACAGGGATAATAGCCCAAAGGAGAAAGGACAAGGACCATTATCATGGGGGGGTGGGGGTGGTAAGAAGTCAGCCTGAAGTGGGTGGAGCAATGAAAGAATGCCTAGAAAATGCTAGTCATGCGGGTCCCCACTCTTTGAAGAAGTTTTGCTATGAAGGGGAGTGGAAAGGTGGAGTAGGAGCAAGAAGGGGTGTCTGATTCAAAGAGGTTCTTTTTCATTTCAACGCTTAGAAGATCAAAAGATACTAGAGAATATTTGTGTGCTGATAGGAATGATCCAGTAGTGAGAAGATAATGATGATACGGGATAGTTAGTGGCTAAAAGAATTAATTTATTGAGACACTGGGAGAGGGAGAGAATACAAACATACCTCAGGGTATTGTAGGTTTTGCCTAAAATTGGAGGAGGGACTTTGGGGAGTGGAGGCTGTTATGAGTAAAGCTGTTATAAACATTCTTGTACAACTCTTTTGGTAAACATGTGTTCATGTCTCCAGTGTAAATTCCAAAATGGAAGTACTGGGTCACATTTAGCTTTATATTTGACTTTATAAGAAACTGCCAAAGAGTTCTCCAAAAGTGGTTGTGCATTTATCCTCCCTCCAGCTGGGTATAAGAGGCTACATACTTCTTGTTTTTTTTTTTTTTTCAGTTTTCTTCTTTCATTTAAAAAATTTCCTTTTCCATCACAACTTGTGGTCTTTCCATAGCGCCATGTGTTTTGTGTACTCCAAAAACGATGGCAATTTTCTGAAATTTTCCTCTGGATCCTGAAGTAAATCATTTGCAGAAATATGCTCATCCTTTCATTATTTTTTATATTGTTTTCTCTTGTTTTGCAATATTTTCATTAAGTGTGATGTGGGTTTGGGTTTCCTCAATACTTGGGCAAGTGCAGACCTGCCTACACTTGATATAGATTCAGTGAATAACCTGCTCTTGGAAATGCTCTCTGTTAATATTATCAGATTAAATAATCTTCTAAAGTCTACAAGTGAAGCACAAGTTCATACACAAAGATCATGTTTAGGAAATAGTGGAGTACAGGGTGGCTACCACAGTAGAGATTACATAAAATGCGTTCTCCAACTTAATAAGCGAAGACATCATAGTTAGTCAGACATTTGGTCAATGCACCAACGTTGCTTTTTTGCTTTTAATTCAATCCGTATTGACTAGTTCAAGGTGTCAGATATGTGCTAAACCACTTCAAATACATTTTTTTTTTCCATTTAAGCCGCAAAACAAGCTTGTAAGATAGATATTGTTATGATTGTTGGTATAGAAATCAGAGATGAAGCCTTAGAAAATTAGTTTGTTCTGTGTCTTACAGCAGTAACTGACAGAGCTTTTACTTCATTGTTTCAGGCCATTGCTAGACAACCTAAAGTTAAGAACGGGAAGTCAAGTAAGTGATGAATTTAATCATATAGATCAAACTTCCAGAAAATTGGAAAGCAATACCTACCTTATTTTGCATATCTGCTAAATTTTTCGTATGTGGACTATTCTGTGTAACAAAAGCTCTTGGCCATTTTTTCCTTATCCATTAAACCTTTCTGTTGAAGTAAAATAGCTGGTTTCCTGCCTTAGCACCTGTGACATATCCAGGGATTACATGATCTCAATGACTCAAGGCATAAATTATAATTTTTAAAAAATATAATTTCTTTGATTTAGGTAAAATTGGGAAAACTTCTACATTAGCATGCCTACTTTTTAAAAATATTTTTTTCTTTATTGATATTTAGAGAGAGAGGAAGTGAGAGAGAGAGAAACATTGATGAGAGAGAACATCAATTGGCCGCCTCCTGCATGCCTCCACTGGGGATTGGGCCCACAACCTGGGCATGTGCCCTGACCGGGAATCAAACTGGCAACCTCTTGGTGCATGGGTCGACGGTCAACCACTGAGCCACACCAGCTGGGCAGCATGCCTATTTAAAAATATTAATAAATCTCTTTGTTTTATTGTGTCTTTTTTTTTTTTTTTTATCCTCACCCGAGGACATTTTTCCATTTTTTGTTCAGGTAGAGTGGGAGGGAGAGAGAGGAAGAGAGAGAGAGAGAAACATCGATGTGAAAGGAACACATCGAGTGGCTGCCACCCGCACGACCGACCAGGGCCAGGGACAAACTGCAACCGAGGTACGTGCCCTTAGCGGGAACCGAACCCGGGTCTCTCTGGACCACAGGCCGATGCTCTAACCACTGAGCCAAACCGGCCAGGGCTGTTTTATTGTGTCTTACCAAGGAATTGCTTAGTATAAAGTTATCTGAGACTTGAGTTGTTCCAGAAACTGACAACAACTATCACTGTCAACATGCAAACATCCCGACGTGCTTAAATACTAGGAGGGCAAATATATCAAGAATGCAAAATAAGTCCCTGTGCCCCACACTCACACTTTAAAAAATTTTAGTTCCTTCACACACAATAGTAAAAGGAGGTTCACAGTGGATAAGCCTAGACAGTTGGCCCTGACGCACGCTTTCAAAGTGAGTAGTACTGCACACACTCAGGAAAAATAATTAAAATGTACTGTAAAAAAAAAAAAGAGACATCCTTAATTTATCAGCCACTGAGAATGTCCTTCAGCCTAGCAAACGTCACACTGCCCGTGGGAATGGAATCTCATTTTGTTAAACACTGCTTAAAAGCAAAGCAAGATCTTAACATAACACGTCCAAGTTCCCCATGCTGGCAAAGATCGAGCGCGTGTGTGCAGCAGCAAGGTCAAATAATTTTCTTTTCAGACAGCATTTGTGATGGCATACTTATTGAAAATGAAAAGCATACAAATCCAAACTATTAAAGCCTAGCCAGAAGGACAAAAACAAAAGAGAAAAAAAAAACAAGGACTTTTAAAAAAGAATCTCTGAAACACTGGAGAAGGACTCATCCTTTCTAGCCTCTGAAGAGTAACATATACAATAGTTTTTGGAAGGTCAGTGACATGTCTTCCTATGCACATATCTTACCGCTTCCCACCTCACTATTTTATCAACTCAAGGTATTATTATCAGAAAGTAGAATTATTTTTTTTTAACATGGAACTACAACCTGAAAATTAATCACATTAGAAAGTTATGCACTTAATCAACCACTTTGCCATGGCTCCAGGTAGTCCACTACTAACCTGTACCCAGCCCTATTTTCACTTCATGTTTCAGCACTTCTAGCACATTGAGAAAGCCGCTCCTGAGCCTGTGGAGAGAGGAGATTGTCAGCACAAGGAGACCTATGTGGGTCCAACGAGAGGACACGGACAGTTGTCATGGTGATGTCACCGAAAATGGTGTTCTCCAGCACATCAGCTCTAATGTTGACACACACACATTCATCACATCCGACCATCTGAGTTCTGGAGGGAAAACAGATCACAGACGAGCTAGAGTCCTTGCACTGAGGTTAATCTTAGGAGAGTACAAAGAAGCAAGAGCAAAAAACAAAACCAAAAAACAAACACAAAAAACCAGGAAGCAGTTGCAAGGAAAAACAAATGAAGAAATTAACCTTATAATTAGTCCAAAAGTCTTACTGGTCTTTAATATAGTTTAACCAACCAATCCTCCTATGTTAGGAAGTAGAAGTTATTATGCATTGTTTTTCCTGTTCGTCTGAAATAATGTTACCCTGAATGAGTGACTTTCCAGATCAAAGAAAGGGGGTATAACAGGAAAAGGGGTGCAGGCTGGTGAGTCTGGCCTGACCATTCAAATGCAGCCACTGAGGACAGCAGAAACTAGCAGAGATGATTCCTGTGCTGAATTCTGGACCTCACGACCCTAATCTTAATAGATATGCCACCTTTCTAAAGAAACAAAGGAAAACTAAAGCTATCCTTAGAAGTCTGAGAAAATGCAAAGGTCAAAATGGTCTGTTCAAAGATGCACATAACTATAATTTTCAAAGCCCCAATGTACACACAATAAACCTCTCAAAATTGTCAAAGAAAGAACCACATTTATGGATACATTTAAACAGAAATGTATCCATAAAAAAATGTAACTTCAAGCCTTAATTTGAATCATATTTTAATTTAGATGTTGTGTAACTAATGGAAGGGTTGTTAAACCCTTCTCCATCTGACCTCTAGGCCATAATTATGGTCACTGAGCTGTACACAGGCAGGATTCCCTGTCATGTGTTACCGCTCAATGTCTCAAAACTAGAAGCCACTGGAACATCTCAAAATACTCCAGAAATAAATCACTGTGCCTCTTGTGCCCTTCTCATGCTGCCACTGACATGTAACTTTTTCATCCACAAGGGCCCTAGACTTCTAACTGCTGGCACCTCCAACCCTTGGCTGAGGGCTCTCTTCAGCTGCTAGAACCTGCTCTGCCCTGGTTTGGGGAAGGTCAGCAGCTCCAAGGAATCAACGCTTCTTCATCCCATTCAGCAGTCGCTCAACAATAACTGATGGTGTTTGGGTATAACTACCCCAGCTCCCCACCCCTTGGGCAGAATGACTTGGAGATTTGCTTTTACACTGGCTCTCTAAGATTTCCAGAAGGATTAAACTCCAGGAGCCCATGCTGGTAACTTGGTTAATGATGCACTCTTTACTGACTTCCTTCCTCTCTCTGTCTTACCCCACTAAAGGTGTTTCCTGAGATCGCCTCCCCAATAAACTACGTGTATGTGAATCCTTGTCTCATGGTCTGCTTCTGCAAGAACACAAAATAACCCCTGAAAACACTAAAATCTAGCAGAAGCTAAATACATTTATTGAATGAATATATGAATGATGTACCCCAACCTGCCCCTAAGAGGAAACAGCTCTGTTCTGGGTTGACTAACACCAGAAAGGAGAGCTCCTTTCTGTGTCTCATCCTGGACCATGATTTGTTAACCTGGCATGGATTAGCATCATGGAATCTATGGGTTCCCTGAAATTAGGTGCAGCCTGTTTATATCTCTGGGCTTTTTTCTGAAGGTACAGGCCATGACTGTCATCTGATTCACTTGTGAATATATAAGCTTTCAAAATGTTAAGAACCAGTTATAATTAAAGCTTTTGCATTCTAGTGAACTATAATAGGGCAAGGTCCCTCCCATGTGAACTGGCATCCTGTTGAATCCAGCAGGTGACATATACCGTACCTAGGCTGTTGCCTTCCGGTAGCGCTGCATCATTTCTACTAGTTTGAGTGTTTCTAATAGTTTCCACAACACAAAGTAATGGAAGTCAGCACCCTCTCCCTGGACACTTGGCTGGAGTATGTGCCCTTTCAGTCCTTGCTGCAAGGACTGAATGCTATTGTTTTTAAACTATTTCTGCTGTATTCCCAATTTCTTGTTTTGTGGAAACTCAGAAATTTTAAGAGCTATGGCTCTTCAAATGCATAATCTGCAAAAATGTCCTGTTAAGTGCTCTCCTTCCCTACGACAGCAAAGGTACGTGTCTGTCTATCTAGTCCCTGTCCCAATCAAACATAGCTACAGAAGAGAAATGCTGGAGGAATGACTAGGGAAACCAAGGTGGCTACTTTGCAACCCAAATAGTCACAATCTATCAATCAGGTATTGCCTACTTACGATAAGTTTGAGTTGGGACAATGTGAGATCGATGCTCCTCGCTCCCGGAATACATCCAGTTCTTCTGCAGAGAGGTAGCAGCCATGCGCCATCACTGTCTGGAGAGAAGAGTGTCCAGGGTGGAGTTCACTACTTAACAATGCTTCGGTCAGTCCTCACTCACAACAAGAAATCACAGGTACAGACAGAAGCTGTGCCATCTGTACCTTTTACTATGTACATGAAGATGTCTGTTAGCATCTTCACGAGAACATTTAAGATGATCTGTCTGTATAAAACCACTCTGTACAAGTCACATCTCATAAAAGCCTGTAAAAACATTGGATTACAAACATTTCAGCAGATTTTTAGATCTTATCTTTTTCTTTTTTTAATCTATAAAATAAGGAAGGCTGGTCCAGTTCATCTACAACATAGGACATCCATCCAGTTTGACAATAGTATGATTTCTTCATCTCCACTTTAAAAAATAACTGAGTTACTTTCTTTTCTAAATCGAGTGGGCATCTGTTGGGGCTGTAATTGTTTCTCTTCTAACTGGGACTTTCTAGAAGTCAGCTTTCCCTTCTCAGTTCATGTAAGCTCTGGGAGTGATCCCGGGAAGAGTTGTTGTTTCCGCCCCTGGTTAGATACAGGCATCAATGGTCTTGACACAGAACCAAACCCACTTTAGCTATTTCATCACCTATATTTACAGTTTTATTAAAATTAGGAAATGTAATATTTTATAAGCATGAATTCAGAAGGTAAAATTCATCCGAGAAGGCAGGCACTGCGTACATAAGAGATTTCTCTTAATTTCAAGTCTCGGCAACATTTGTGGTTTTTCTTGAATAAGATTTTACTCTTTCAAAATTCTTTTTCTCTCAGTATGCAGCCTGTCTCTGAATAGCCCTCTCCTTTAGGAGGCATGGTTCAGTGGCCACAAAATTGTTATTAAAGTATAATTTTCCTAACCTCTGTGCAAATCAAATTAACATGCAAACTGAAGGTTAATTTATTAATCATATGGAAATGTATGTAAAGGAGGATGCAGATTAAGGGGTAGCCTTTATAAAATTTATGCAGAATACTAACCTTTCAAATTAGTCATATTCACATCTCCATTCACAAAGTCCTGAAGAATTTATTTGCTGCCGTAGTTAAATTCTCCACGCAGTTTGTACATTTCATTGAAGGCCAAGGCCATGGGGTATATTGTTCTAATAAAATCTCTCCTCACTCATATTAATTTTAATTAACTTAAAACTGTTTAATTATAAAAACAATACACACTCATAAAAGCAATCTCAGAATGTTTAAAAATAAAAAGTAAAGTCCTGCTTTCTCGCTCAGGAAGAATCACCTTTAGCAAATTCAATGTGTGTCTTCCGTACAGTTTTTCTAAGTAAGCATGCACCACACATACGTACACATACACCAGACAATACTGCAAGCCTGTGTGCCTCCTTCTTTGTGAATGTTGGATAAAATTCTAATTATGTATGTTCTGTAATCTAAACAATCCGCCACAAAAGCCATTTTTTAACTTTCATATGTAATTAACATTCCTACTCATATTCCTCACAGACTGGATCCTTAGAAATGATCTGCTAACTCAAAGGAATGTACATTTACATTCTAATAAATACTGACACCATGGCCTTGGACCAAATGACGTTCCCACCCTCAATGAAGCCTTTAGATGTATTTGCTGGGATGAGAGTCCAGCCCATTTTTACTATGTACACACACATAAGCACTCTTTGAGCTTAACTCTAATCTGGCAAATGCACAGACATCATATTAATCTGAAGAACACTACTGAGATTTTAAAATTTAGGTATATATGCTCAATTTGACACAGATTTCATCATGATATGCAATTTACCTTATTTGTCAGAAGACCATTTTTATCATACACATCTGTATAGTTTTTATAACTAGGATATAAGTTTTTCACAGCTTCAACTTCATCAGGATTTTCACTTATATGGCTCTACAAGAAAATAAATAATATTTTCAATTTTTCAGTGTAAAATTCCATTAGAAATTATACTTCCTACCCCAAAATGATATGGATGGTTTCTACTTGCCTAAGTCAGGGGCCACACAGAAAGACAATGAGGACTGTACATGTGTTTTATCTAAAACAATCACATGACAAAGATACTATGATTATGTAACTACACAAACATGTAATGTTCTAACCCATGTAATGTTCCAACAAAGTCTTTTCAATTCTAAACTATAGCAAAAAAAACAAGCCAAAATAAATAGTATTCCTTGAAAAGAGTTGAGAGACTAGCTGTCTGTGGCACGGGCCTCTTCTGGTGTTGGCTGTTTCAGAAAAGAGTTCAGTGGCCATCAGTAGGACAGACAGCATGGTTCACCCATACGAAACTGGATTTGAATAAAGAGAGCTGCATTTTAGCCCAAGTTCTGACCCTAGTCATGTGTCTTAGGGCAAGCCAGTTCTTTTCTTTGGACTTTTATTTCCTCATCTCTCAAATAAAAGGGTTGGGCTAGATAAGTAATTTTCCAAATTCTTTCAGCTTTGTATATGTTATTCTGAGAAAAATCCATAGAAATCCAGGGTGTAAAAGGCATAAACAAGTTGCCTCTCAGGATGCAGCAGGGGTGAGACTCGGGAACCCTGTCTCCATTCTGTCCCCGTTTCTGGCTTTCGGAATGAGTTCTTCTGCAGAAAATGATTAGAAGATAACTGAGCTAGACAATCCTGCAGGCACCAAGGAAGAGCGGGCAAGAATTCACATGCAAGCAAAACAAGTGCGTCCTGGCTCCCGCGCCAACCTTCTGCAGGCACCACAGGACCCAGAACCCGAGAGCGCGTGCAGTGCTTTGAGACACACTTCGGTACAACCACACCTACCCCCGGCCTAAAACAAGCATTATTTCAGACCAACTGCTGGTGAATATATATTATGGGAAATAACTCATGAGTGTTACCACTTCTAAGAACAACAATGCCATTTCCCTCTCTTCATGAGGTAGAGTATGCATAGCCAAATAAATAAAAGAAAAACAGCAACGTTCTAAACCCAGTGAACCACCTATGGCATGAGCTCTATCCCGGCCTTGAGGAAAGCCCAGACCACTGATAAAATTCAAGGGCATCAGAAGAGGAGGGAGGACAACCAGATGATCTGTGTCACTTTGGTAAATTTGAGTAAATATACAGACAGACAGACAGACACCCCTAGCAGGACATACTTGCTTTTGTTGTGTGTTGATGGGGTTCAGGACACACGGCCCCAAAATATGGCATCTTGGCATGTTGAAAAATGATATTTTAAGCTGAAGGAGTTTGATGACAGAAGCAAGAAGGTCCCTTAGATGCTCCTCCCACCCTTCCCTCCCTGAAACTGGTCATAAAACCCACAGGTGAGAGGTGCCTGCCCCACCCCAGGAGGAGAAGAGCATCTTTATCTCTGAAGACAAAGGGAGTCAAGAAGAAGCCAAACAAACAGGCCTCGCTAAGTTTCCTACACTTACCTCATGTCCCTTAACCTATCACATTCCTCCACAGCCATGCACTCTCTTCAACAAAACTAGCAAAAAATACTCAGGTCTGTTTCTCCGGGTTTTCATTTCCTATAAAGGCTCCTGTGTCATGTCATGTAGAACTTACATTAAATACATCTGCATACTTTTCTCCTGTTAATCTATCTTTGTCAGTTTAGTTTTCAAACCCAGGCTGGGACCCCAAAAAGGTCAAGGAAAACTTTTCCCTCCCCTCCAACTGTGTGGGATTGAATCAAAAATTCAAATAGCATGAGCTGTAAACGAATAAAAGAGAATGGGAAAAGATGAGAACAGTTAGTGAGCCCTATCAAGATAAATCTTAAAAATGAAACCACCCTCCACTTTACAAATGATAAAGAATCAATGTGTTAAAAAAGGAGGGACGTCTGTAATACTTTCAACAACAACAAAAAGAATCAATGTGTTGCCTGCCTTCCCCCTGACTTGCCCTTTGTTATAAGATAGTCAGCTCTCGCCCAGCTGGTGTGGCTCAGTGGTTGAGCATTGACCCATGCACTAAGAGGACGCTGGTTCTATTCCTGGTCAGGGCACATGCCCAGGTTGTGGGCCCAATCCCCAGTGGGGGGCATGCAGGAGGCAGCCAATCGATGTTCTCTCTCGTTGATGTTTCTATCTCTCTCCCTTCTCTCTAAAGTCAATAAAGAAAAAAAAAAGATAGTCAGCTCTTAAGAGGGGACATTTTAGTGCAGTATGTAATGAAGCTTGGATGGAGGAAGGTGAGCTCCCAACTTTCAATTTTAACCCAGCTGGAAGCTTTAAAAAGTGTTTTATTCCTAAATTGCAACTGCTTAATGACAAAGTTAAATGTTTTTTTGTTCCTGATTTTAAATTAAGAAACTTGGAACAAAGGGGCTTTTAAATGCATTTTGTGAGGTGGAAATTAGGTTCTTATTGCTTTTTAAATAATAGGTGTTTCCTTCAAAAATGAAGGACTCGAACACTGAAAAAGCATCAAAAGAAAGACGTAGAAAAGACATGTGATTAAAGTATCCTACAGACAACAGGTGACCCGTCTGTCACAGATTTTGCTAGGTACCTGTGATGGCCTCATGTCTGCAATCCTGATCAGAGAATTGAGAGGGAAAGGAACTTTCTTAGCTGAAAAAATTTAAGAACTGGCATCTGTGAGGGCCCTCCCTGTCCCATAGTGCTCTACCTCTAGGTGATCTCAGCAGGAGACCTGGAGATTACTCCCAGAATGCGGGATAATGGGAACCCCGCAGTTCTGGACTGAGGCACACGCGGGAGAAAAATACCCACCTGAATGTGCAAATCGTGAGTCTTCGCGGTGCTTCCAAGTTCGCTCATCAACATCTCAGAGCAGGAAAGGGAGAAACGTGGCGTCACTATGGGCTTCACTCTAGGATACTGGCAATAATCAAGAACAGTTGATAAGGACACCATGGATATCATGAATGAGTAGCATACCCCAAAATGCATGTCATACAACAAGATTATTTTATATCTGGACATTTGGGGACAGTCCTCCTTTCTAAGAGCGGGTGGAAGTGCTGGGTCTCATGCTGGGGACAAAGGGGAGTATATTCTGTAACACCAAGTTCAGTGGAAGAAGATCTCGTTCCGAGTGGCAGCCACCCCTGCTCCACATCCACAGGAAGGCTCGTCGAGGCTTGCACGGCGGCCTTATGAAGAGAATCAAGAAGTAGAAGGAGAACTTTTAAGGGAGAGATCTGGGGAGACTAGAAGTAGGTGGTTGCCTATTCCCTTTTCTACGTCTTGGGGAGGTGTGCTGGCCATGGCCTCCCCGAGGACTGTTTAGTTACAGAACTGGCTCTGATGTCACCTGAGGTGAGGGTCCCAGCAGGAAAGAACTCTGAGAGGGATGGTGAGAGTAAGGGTCCACAAAACTCCACCTAAGTCTCCCAAGATTGAAAGACATTCTGAGGATCCCTGTGTTTTCCCATCAGACCTCAAAAGATGGTAAGGCTTGCCAATCTAAGAGATGGCACCACGAATCAGCCTGCTGGGCACAGGGGTAGATATCAGCACCGCCTCCATAGGCTCACCGACCCCAGGGCCTGCAAAGGGGGTGCCTGGCTGAGCGCCTGCAGGCCATGGGACATCCACACATACGTACATGGACCAAGGCAGTCTTGGGCAGGGGCATTGGGCTGGACACCACCGGTGTTTCAGACCAGATCAGGGGTCCAACAGGCCAGAGCCCATGTTAACATAGCCAACCAATACCATGCCTCCATTTCCAGTTGCCATCAATCTGTCCACAGCTATGAGGCCCTTCTCCATCTCCCCAGAGACCAGTCCTGTGAAATTAGTTGGTCCCAAAGGAGAGGAAGAGAAAACCACTGAGAAATCATAAAATGCCTGACCTCACAGAGCTGAGTTGACAGGTCCTCTGTGAAAACAGTCTAAGGTTCTAGGAAAATATTCCTGCGTGCATGGGCATAAGACAAATGCACACAGATTGTTCTCTGCCAAACAACTTAATGACAAACCCTACAACTAAGACAAAGACAATCCTGAAACAAGCTGGGAACAAGTTTACTTACGTTCCTTTGGAGCATCTCTGACACGAATCTGAAATAAAGCAGCACATGGGAAGTTAGAAAATTCAGGCATTTTCAAATCAACTTTTTCAAAGGATGAAGACATGGCCTTTCCAGGTCCTGTTTTCCATGCAAACATTTCTCATACTGCACATGTTTCTCCACCACCAATTAAAGACGAACCAGTAGTCATTCTTCTGCCTTCTCATTTGCAGAGATGGAGTGCGACATCACAGGGAAATGCAGCTTATCCTCTGCAGCAGCTGGGCTGCTCCCGGGTATTCCCACAGCACTCGAGCCGCTCTACCAGCTTAAGCTCAGTCTGGGGCAATATTGCAATATGTGATGCTCCAGGGATGTTAGGGTCCCGGAGTCCTATGCACCGGAGGCATTTAGAAGCCATGGGGCTCTCTATCCCTAATTTCCCTAAAGCTAACACAATATCATCATTTACTTCCAAAGGCAGAAGAAAAAGGCCAGCTGGTTGTGACAGGGTGCTGATGGTGGTGGTGTCTCCCCCGTTACCCCTGCAGGGATGGCGGTCTGTCTGCACGGTGTACGAAGTGGTAGCTCTGCCCTGGCCAGGAATATTTACTAGCTACGGCCTCCTGTCTCCTGGTATTCCTTTTTCTGTTGTTTCAGAATAAAGTGTGAATTAAGGTTCACAATGACACAAACACACATTCATAGAAAAGTTGAGCTGGTGGCCAAGGCAACAGACACATGCTTCCTATTCTCTGGGAGCAGGCAGCAGCCCCTGAGCCTCCCTTTTCCGAGGGTACACTTTAGGCGAAGAAAGTCAGGGGACTCAAGAAAAGTTGGACTTCTAGAGTTTGCATTGGGAGACATGTGGTCTCGGGGAAGCTTTAAATGTGAAGAAATGTCTTCTATGTATATTGCTTAGCTGGTGAGTGTCATACAACATAATTCCTTGAAAAGAAATGTAGAAAAAGTACGTATAGGATCAGTAGAATATCCCAGTGTAAGATAAAAGGTTCAAACCCGTGTTGTTCAAGGGTCAACTGTAACCTAAAGAGCAGGCCACACACACACTTAAAGCAAGTCCAATACACAGGAGAAGATCAGATCTATAATGAAGGAGAGGAAGAGGGTAAATCATTTACTTCAAAAAAGAATCCCTCGTTTTACAAGGAGTTTGCCTATAAACCTATAACAAGTTCCCAGAAGCTTTAAAATATAATTGGGTATATGAAAATAGTACTGACATGCAACATTTTTTTAGGGCCAGATCAATTTCATGAAGTTGGGCAAACCCACGCTGTAACATATGTGCACATCCCACCTGGTTCAGAGCGGGTTTCCTTTTTTGTTAATCCTCACCCGAGGATTTTTGTTGTTGTTGCTGTTTTTAGATAGAGTGGGAGGCAGGGAGGAAGGAGAGAGTGAGAGAGAGAGACACACCGATGTGTGAAAGACACATCAATTGGTTGCCTCCTGCATAACCTGACCAGCGTCAGGGATCAAACCTGCAACCCAGGTATGTGCCCTTAACCGGGAATTGAACCCATAACCTTTGGTCCATGGGCCAATGCTCTAACTGCTGAGCCAAACCGGCCAGGGCCTGAGTGGTTTTCTCTCCCGGTCTCCAACTCCATCAGTGCAGCGGAGGGACCACCCACGAGACAAATCAGGTGGACATACCTCTCTGTTTCCTTGATTGATTCCTCAGTGCCTTCCATGTATTCTGGAAAGGTGTCATTCATATCCATGCAGACTTTGCCCACAAACGCTCGCTGCCCAAATTTATCTGTGAGGCATGTACAAACAGAATCTAACGTCATGTGTCTTTCCCACACAGTACCTTTTCTGAGACTTTTAAAAGCGTGTTTAAATCAAAACAAGTGAGAATGTGAAATATTATCCACTAAGAACAACAACAACCACCAACCAAGTTCTGTAAGTAGCAAATATTCTCCCATCCATCACTTCAGCCACCCCCTTCTCCGCCCCCACTTCCAGTCTGGCCAGGTAATAATTGAGTGTTTTTTACTTTGGTGTTATTGGGTGTTATTACTCAGCTTTGCCCTTTGCTTACACAGTTTGTCTACATTTTTACTCAAGTCATACTGTCCTTGTTCCCATTTCATCACATGGAACAAAAGAGGGCAGCCTCAGACCCTGGAGAAACACTATTCAGCCTTGACACGTCTACACCTTGTTTTTTCTTCCTTCCTTCTCTTGTTTCTGTGGCTCACTATCTCTGTCCTGTCTCCTACTCTACCACTGTCCCATGGATAGAGTCCCTCTCTATATTCTTCCTCTGTTCTACAGAAAAAACAGTAGGGTGTAGCGATAAGAAAAGGGGCACCGGATTTTGACAGATTATATGTGTCCAGTGTCCTCTGGTATGTGTAGGGTTAGAAGAAATATACCCAGTAATGTATAGACAGGGTCTGGCACATGCTTAGAAAAGATGTTGCCACTACTCCTAACTGTAGCTATGCCCATAGTATTATCTGCAAACATTTTATTTAGTCCTACTAGCAGATCTCAACACTAAAGAACCTAGTTCTATTTAGAAGATTCAGAGGAATTCTTTTTCAGCTAGGAGCTTGAATCTACATTGGGCAGTGTTAATTTTGTTTACAATGTCTCCACCTCTGTCATAGAATCTTACAAAATCTTTCTGCCTCTGTCTTTCCCTGTAATTCATTTTAATAACTGGGCGTTCAATTACTCTTTCTTAAAAAACCACCTTCATCACATACCTCAGAACCAAAAACCATAAGTAAATAAATAGTTAAACAATAGAAAACATTCAGGGGCCGCAGTAATACACTTAATCACTTAATGCTCAAATTCTAGCAACTGAAAGGCAAGGCTGCACACCGCATGACTCCCTGCTCGACGAGGTCCGACTGGCTTCGCTGGCTTGCCGTGAATCATGCTTTCATCTCCTCACCTGTAATTTCTGCAAGGAGCAGAGATGAGTCCGTGTAAATTGCTGAAAAGTAACAAGCAGTGGTTGTTCCATTCTTCAGCGTTCTCCTCTAAAAATACATCACAAAAGCCATGAGTTACATGTGCCAAGAAAGTCACGTGGCATGTTCAAATGAAAACAAAATTCCAGTTTCCAATTGTAAAGTGTTTTTATTTAAAAGTATGCCATCTTGACGTGAAATACAATTAAGGAAAATGGCAAAAGTATTGATATTCCAGAAGAGTGAGCTGGAGAAGTTGATACTTTTGATTTCCTAGATTCACACAGTTCTGTAACAGAATTCATAAAATGTGGTGCTAATGAATTCCTTATCTTTAGATGTGTGTGAGCATATGCAAACTATACTGCATCTGGGAGTGAATAAAGAAGATTTTTCTATCTATAACAGGGTAAAAAAATTCAGCCATACTTCTAGTTCAATCTGGCAGATTGGTCACATGAATCTATCTCTCTTCCTTAGCAAATTTCCACTAAAAAAAAAAAACAGTAAAAGAGTACAAAATCTATTCACCAACAAGAAGAACATAAGAAGAGACATGAGCAGAAGAAACATTTCAACATCTCTTTGGAAGACAAAGAATACGGATGAGCAACTTAAGAAGAGAGAGAAGCATGTGGCTGTTAACAGGGGATTGGGTCCAAGTCTGTCTACAATGCTTAAGCCATGGCAGGACCCTCCTCCTCCCTGTTGAAATCAGCCAGCTACCCCAACCCGTTCCTTGCAGGAGAGATTTACTTTTCGTAGAAACTGGGTAGTATCTAGAGAATAGAAGCCCCAAAGGACAAGGTGAGGCAGAGACTGAAAAGAAGAGGTTTGGAGAAAGTCTGGCTCATCTCAGGAGCCCTCAGTCAGCTTGCTCAGAGTGCACTTGTATCACTGCCACCACTCCTGGTGGGCCTGAAGGACTCTTCCCTGGAGAAGATGAGTTGCTCTCCAAGAAAGATGTCCTCACCATGACTTGTGGAGCCCACAGTTGAAAAGGCTGTTCATTACTTTCACTGTTCAGCCTATGCTGAAGTTCACTAGCCAACAAGAGCTACCCCTACCCAGGCCTTCCAATCACCATCTTAGGACATCACCTGTAAATATGAATGTATGTTCAAATGTCAACAGACACTCGAGGAGAGTGACTATGAAAAGGAAAAGCGGGAAGAGAAAGTCTGGAAAAAAATATTGAAGGAGCCCTGGCCAGTTTGGCTCAGCAGTTAGAGCATCAGCCTGCGGTCCAGAGAGACCTGGGTTCAGTTCCTGCTAAGGGCACGTGCCTCAGTTGCAGTTTGTCCCCGGCCCTAGTTGGGTCGTGCGGGTGGCAACCACTCGATGTGTCCCTTTCACGTCAATGTTTCTCTCTCTCTCTCTCCCTCTCTCTCCCTCCCACTCTATCTGAACAACAACAACAAAATATTGGAGGAAACAGGTTCAGAAGGAAGTGTGATTAAAAAAAATTAACTATGGTTAACATTCTGAAAGAATTAAAGAAAATGTCACTTGTAGATACAAGTCAAGAACAGACTACTATGAAAATCAAAGAACAAGAGCTCTCCAAAAGTAAAAAATTATAAGTGAAATTTGGAAGTCAATAGAAGCATTGTAGGATAGATTAAAAGAGAATCCCTCAGGTGCGGGGGAATGCTTTGAACTTAAGTAATAGGAGAGGACATACCCCATGTCTCAGACAGCAGTCTCTACTCTGCATCAGCCAATTATTGAAAAAAGCAATGAGAGCCCAGGCATGTAGGTTAGTCCCAAAGATCAAAAGACTTTGAAAAGCTGGAATTTTTATGTCAATCTTTTCAAATTTTAAGACATTTTGCATATGAAATAAAATACATCTGGCTGCTAATAGATGATAATTATAGCCTGTCAGCTAAAGACAAGAATGAGCTCTCATCAGAATCACAAGTCCAGGAGACATCAAATTCAATCTCCAGCAACTCCAGAAGTATCTGGATCTCAGTATACTCAGTAAATATTTATTGACTGAACACTTGAGTAACTGGATTACTAAGCAACAAGAGGCATAAAATGAACTAAAATCAGTATTTTTAGATAAATAGAATAGGATATGATATACTTGAAAGAGGACAGGCTATTCAATAGTAGAGTGAATTAATGACTTGCAAAATTGGACCATGGCGTTCTTTAAGGATGTAATACAAAAGTATACACAGAACTTTCAACATTTTTCTAATAGGAGTTACCAAAACAAAGAGTAGATTGAAGAGAATATACTCAGAGAGAAAGAGGGAGAAATAAATTTTCCAAATTAGAAGACAGGAGTTCTCATATTGAATGAACTACATATGACAGATAATGAATTGAAAAAAAAGATCTATAAGTGAAATTTCAGAACATCCTGAATGAAAGCCAGCAAATTAGCCAGAATGGTATGAGAATCAGACTGACATCAGCACATTGGATGACGATGGGCAAATCATGTAGAGAGAAATAGAACTCTCTCTATGGCGAAAATGCATCACTCAAGAGTCAGGACAAAGTAAAACCAATTTTGGTAATTTAAGGATTAGGAATGTTTATCATCTACTTCACAAAAAAAAAAAAAAAAAAAATGAATCCAGAAGAAAGACAGGGAATCTAAATAGCAAGAGAAAAAGTAAAGTTCATTGTTAAATTAAGTGCAGATGTTAAAAAATAATAAACTGAAATTATATTAAAATAAAATTTAAAATATTAAATTTAAAAGTTAAAACATTTTAAATTAAGTGTAGATGGTAAAAAAAAATAAATAAACTTGAACTAAAATCTTGGGTGATATATCACAGAACATGGTGAGGGGGGTTATAACATGAAGAAAGGAAGGGTATGTAAGATTCTTGTCTTGTTATACGAGGGAAATCCTAGAAGACTTACTTAACGCTTTTAACAACTTAGTCTAATAGAGATGTAAAAAATGTCATGTCCACAGAAAAAACACAATTTTTAAAAAAAAATGTATAGATAACTATAAAAACTGACTTTTTGTTGGGTCATAAAATAACTGAATCAATTCCCCAGAAAATAATCATACAAATTATATTCATTAACCAGAGTAAAGTGAAACTCAAAATTTAAAACAGAAGTATAGTCAAACATTTCCTAAACCTCAAAATTTTAAACACCTTTCTAAAATCTGGGCTTGAAGATGAAATCAAAATGAAAAATCTTAGCTGTTTAGCAATGAGGACAATGGAAATACTATCCATCGATGTAAAAATAATCTATGGTGCAAAACTCTGCGGTCTTGACTGGTCATTTTTTTAAGTATAGATCTAGAACTGTTTTTTGAAAGAGAAAAAATACAAAAATGTCTTGATTATATTCATAGATATGGCCTTAGCACGCCTATGCCCTGCCATGGGCTGTCTAAGGAGAGGTTCTAGTTAACAAGTCTTAACTTCCTTAAACAGCTGTCCACCATACCCTTGGCTCATGCAGTTCTTAAAGTGTGTGGGCTTGCTCATAATCAGAAACGTTGGATGTGTGAACTGCAAATACTTGTTGAGAATAACATCTATTTTGTACTCCCAGACATCAATTTCTTACTCAAATCTCTGACTTAAGAAATAAAATGTATGGAGTATGGCCTGAGGGACACAAAGTTCTAGATGTTCTCTCTAAACATAAAAGACTTTTAGATACTATAGCCCCTTGACAGTATATGTATTTTGATAATGTAGTATTTAACTATATTGGAATATTAGGCATAATTTTCTTGAATTTCAGTATGAGAAATAGATAGGTTTTACCTTAACAAAAAATTTTTTTTAATCATCCAGACAGTGTAAAATTCAAAATTGATTTTCCTCTCTGGGTCATTTGCTAGACACTTAAAGCCAAATTGTGACTATCTCTCTGACAAATGCATGGACCCCCCCATGGCATATATTTACCTCTCAGTTTTATTTTATTTTTCGTCTCCCCTCTTCTCCTTCACCATGATTTTGTGACTCACTTTCCTCTGTTGAAGACTATGCAATTTTAAGATCTCTCAAACCCTTTTTAGAACAGTGCAAGGTATAAATAAATTTTGGAGATGAAAAGATTTGGTGTGGTTAACACAATTCATTAGCACAAAGCACCAGCAACTCCGTACACAGCTTTCGTCCTTCTCAGCTTTTCTGGTGTCATGTGGATGCATGCTAAATATGTACGATCCACAATTACACGGAATTTATAATTCAGTGAGGCAAGTGTGTAAATGATAGCTCTTGTTTTTATTCTTCAAGGCTTGAGTAATGCAAAACCAGGAAACTGGCAGGATAACTAGTCACTATAGAAGGCTTATAATATTGTCACCATCACACAGACATCACTTTTAGGGGAAAATCCATCAATGGGTCCAACACAAATGCAGGAATATTCAGATTAAGTGTGCTGAATGATAAGAGGCAGGGGTCAGATAAGAAGGTATTTGCAGCTTTAATTCTAAACTACAGGAGCTGTTTCTGGCTGCTACGTGGACTGGGCATAGGGTTGGGGTAGAAGGATGGGAAGTGATTTTCTTGAGAGAGCGTAAGGAAGGACATTTCCAGAGGCTTCAACATATAGTTGGCACACAGTACAGCCACTGTTCAATGACTGAACTAGCCCCATAGTTCCCTCTAGTGGTGTTAATGCTCATCACAGTCCCATATGCTCTGTAAAGGGACCACCCTCTTTTCCCTCCTTGAGAAGCTATCGAAATAGTGTGACATCCTTCTAATTGTAAGCTAAATTTTTAATTTCCTTGGGTATTTTTAAAAGCAAACACGTAGAGAGCTTACCATATGTTAAACACTATTCTGAGAACCTCACAAATATTAACTTGCTTAATTTTCATAACAATCCAGTAAAATAGGTACTATCATTCTCTCTGTTCTTTTTTTACAGAAGGGGAAGATGAGTAGCAGAACTTTCCAAAGGTTACACAGCTATTTCATATGGTCCTTCGAACAGTCTCATGGATTAGCAGGAGTAAAGGAACACATGTATGTATTAAACCCAAATTTGGTATAGAAAAAATAAAGTAACAGACAGACAGTCATGAGAGCCCACCAGATTGGGAATCTGGGAATTTGAACCCAAGCCTCTCTTTGCTAGTGACTAGTTGTGTAGGTGAGGTGATCACAAACTCACTGGGCTTTGAAACCTCTATAGCCCATTCTAGGCTTAACTGCCTGTGTTTTATACTTAAACTATGTCCCAAGAAATGCATGTTTCCACAGGTGATCCGATACAATACACCGACACTCACGAGCAGGATACTTACAACAACTCTGGTAAACACTTCTTCAGCAAAGTCGATGTTCTGGAGTCTGAGTTCTGTAGGATACGTGTACTTGGTCAGCCACTCCAGAAGTGGCAGGTCTACATTACTCCCGGCAAAGGAATACTGGGCAGCATGGATGTGTGTGTCAACCATCCCGGGCATGAAGAACTCACTGGGAAATAAATGAGAGAAGAAGAATTCAGTAGCATCTTTGGTCGTTTTCCATATCTTTACATCATGTTTTCTCTTGGCAGTGACTGAACTGTTCACCCCACATAGATTTAGAGCTGATGCAAATCAGATGACTAAATTCTTCTATTAGTTAGAGACCAAGATATAAAAATGAAGCTCTGCTAGGAGAGATATAGCTCCTAAATGGGAATGACTGGTGTGAGGTTAATCACAGATGATGAAGGGAGGAAAAAGCATAGCATTGGGCAGAGGTAAGCAGTCGTAGCACAGGGAAGGAGTGAAGCTGTGCTTTCAATTTGTTCTCACAATTGGAGGTTGTGCACTTGAAAAGAATGTATACTCTGCTGCTTTGGGGTGAAATGCTCTGTAGATAGCAATTAAATCCATCTGATCTAACGCTCCTTTTTAGGAAACAGGAAGCATTATGGAAGGCCTAGTAATAGAAACATTCACATAATCAAGGTATAGTTCAGGATTTATATTACAGATATCAGTACATGCTAGAGTATGGGCTGTCAGAGCTGTATGTGAGCTGAGAGGTCACTGAGCCCAAAAAGAAGCTCAGAAGGTCATTTTCCGATGTGCGGTTCGTCAGTGGTCCAGCCAGGCAGGATTAGAACTCAGCTCTCTGCCCAGACCTCGCTCACAGCTCGAGCATAGCCATCAAAAGTGAAGCTGCAGGCACAGCAGAGAAGGGGCTTGGAAGGAGAAGCAGGAAAGGTGGAAAGCTCCTCTTTCTTCTTCTCCTTTCTGCTTTCCTCTTTTCACTTTACTTAGTCATTATCCTAACTCCCTTAGAAAACCTCCACTTCCACCAGGAAGAAAACATCCATTTCATATTCCAAACCTGCAGGGCAAGCCAGAACCTAAGGAAAAAGAACAATGTGAGCGCTATATACACTTATTGAAACATCCACCCACCTTCTAACCAAGTGGAAAACCTTAATAAAAGCTTTAGAATTAGAACACATGACTGATTGTCTGTAAAGGCCTGAGTTACCCGATCTGTTTGCACACCATTGTCAACCTGCTCTGGGAACCCACTGCTGTTTGAAAACCATTCTTTTCTTGTACACACACACACACACACACACACACACACACACACACACTCTGTAAAAAGGGTATGAAACAATGACATCCCATCTTTATTTAAAATTTTGGCATTTTGTTCACCATAGATTTTTTGGCATTAATTTTGATTTTTCTACATGTTGCATTAAACTGTTATTTATTTCAGTTTCTGAGGTTTTTGCCCTCCCCACCACCCCTAAATCCTGTGCCCAAGGTAAATGCCTCACTTGTCTCACACTCGTCTTGGCCCGGGAGCCTCTCTCTGGTCCGTGGCCACAATCTGAACCACTCCTACCAGAGCACTGCTCAGAGGTGCAATTTTCATTTCTCTTAGATACACATTGTGCTGAGATAGAACTGTAAACGCACTGAATCTATGAAACAGACCGTCAGAGACATCATCTTCCGTGGTATGTTAATCCCAACTTAAAGAAATTCAAATGCATGAATCTTACATGTTTGATATGCAAGTTACTTAACATTTTAAACACGATTTTTCTTCAAAGACTTTGGTCTTGCACCAAAGTTTAAATTTTTTTCTTACTTTACCTCTTTTTGGTGTTTTGTGCTTACAGGTACCTTTGTATCTGCATTTTTAAAAAAAATTAATTTAATTACAAAAGCACCCTCACAAAGAGGAACAAAAACTGTGAAGATCCGCAAATGTGGATCTCCCCATCCTCCAACCGCTTCACCATCCTGTCCCTCCCTCCCAGCCCCCAGCTCATCCCTTCCTGCGCCTTCTAATCTCTCATTACCGAGGCACACAAGCAGGTGACTAGAAATGTCAGTTGTTCCTCAACATATTTTCTCATGAAAATCTAGCAAGAGGAAGCAGACAGTAAGTAGCAGCAGAAGGCACTGGATTCATCTCTATGCCCACTGCCTGCAAGCTCGCAAGCCCAGAGAGAGGCGGCAGAGACAGAGCAGGTAGAAGATGTGAGTAAAAATGCAAGTGCAACAGAACGTTATGACCACTCATCTCCCTCTCTCTGGACTGTGGTCAGCCCTTCTGCTTCAAAGCCTTGGGTAACCCAATTCACAGATCCGCTGCAGACAATCCTTCTGCTAACAGCCTAGGAGACAAAAAGGATATCACCTAGGACAATCCTGCTAACAGCCGAGGAGACAGCTCAAAGACAGAAAGCGGCGTGGGTTCCAGTTAACAGCCACAAAGCTGTAGTATTAGAATCCACAATGAGAATTCTAATTCCTACTACTTCACTGTTCTTCTCATTACATTATTCTAAAGTCATTTCTCAAGTTATAAAGATGTTTTTAGAATGAAAATGATTTCAATTGACTTTGAAATTTTCACTGACTTTGGAAATATACTTGGCCTGAAACAAGATAAAATCTTTGAGTTAAAAAGAAAAGTATCTTGCCTGGCCGGTGTGGCTCAGTGGTTGAGCATCGATCCACGCACCAAGAGGTTGCTGGTTCGATTTCTGGTCAGGGCACATGTCCAGGTTGTGGGCCAAAGCCCCAGTGGGGAGCATGCAGGAGGTGGCCAATTGATGTTCTCTCTTATCAATGTTTCTATCTCTCTCTCCCTCTCCCTTCCTCTCTCTCTAAAATCAATAAAGAAAAAAAAAAAAAAGCTTAAAAAAAAAGACAGAAAAGTATCTCCAGTTCCATAAAACAAGTAGGCTATAAAGAATGTAGGCCAATCACAAGAAACACATTTTGAACACATTATTAAAAACTACTAAAAGTGGTTGAAACAAAAAATCGCAGCTCAAATGCACTTTTGGAAATGGGTCTTACCTAACCATGCTGTCAGAGTGATTGCTCCCAAATGTTCCTCCTTTCTTCCCAATAATTTTTCTCTATCATGCTCTTTCATTATTTCCTTACAGTAAGTTCACAACCTATCACTGTCATGCTTACATATCTGTGCACTTGTTTATGTTCTGTATTCCCCAGGAAGTATAAAGGGCTATAAACCCCGCAAGGACAAAGATTTTGTAGACCATTTTCACCTTCAGATTCCAGTTCTTCCACATACTAAGCTCAACAAATATTTGCTGAAGAATTAAATGAATAATGACACCCTGTAGTACTCCAAGTTTCTGTCCTTTAGCTCCCTATTCTCTGTTTACCTCTTCCTTCTCACCTTACACCTTAAGAAAATAAAAAAATACAAAGCCTCTCTGTCTCTCAAGGTGGGTTTCTTATCATTTGAGACCAGTTAATGGGATCCACAAAAGGGAAGAAGTTGACTCTGACTCACTTGTGGCTCAGTTCTCTTATCTCACAGGGCTTGAAGCACCATTCTTTGGCCAGCTTTTCTTGTTGAGATGCTTCTTCTAAAAACACTATCTTTAAAAGAAAGAAAGGAAAGAATCACAAATTAATGAAACATCATTTGTTGCTATGAAATATCTAAATCTTTTTAAAAGAGACTATACTGTAGCTGTGAATTACAAAAGGTATTTGACACCAAATGGGCTTGATTTTAGAGGCAAAAAGGCAAGTGTTTGCCTTTGGTTGCCCAAAGAAGTACATTGCCTGATATTTCTCCTTTTCTGCCATTCTATAGACATAAGCAAGGCTTTAAAAATTCTAATTTCGAGACACAGGGTTGTTAAAATGGCTAATTGATATTTATTTCTTTCCCACTCCTGAAAACGATGAAAGGAAACAATGGTTTATAGAAAGTACGTTTCCCTGAAGATGACTAAAAGATTTTTGTCAGGCTGTTATAGGAGACTCAAGTCCAGAGTACCACAGTAGTGCATCACAGGGCAATCCATTTGAATATAACTGCTCATGATTGCCTGAAAATTGAGTCTTAGCATGAACTATGTTGATGTTCTGATACTAAATGTCTGCTACATTCTTCTAGTACTGTGTATGAGACATGAGCAGAGTGATCTCTCATGTTAGACTTGTGGCGTCGAGAGCACATGGACCACATTGATGGGTCTCGCAATCTCCCTTGGTCTGGTTTCCCCATCTGCAAACAGGGCCTAACACCAGAACATACTTCACAAGGCTATTGTGAGACCTAAACACGATCATTTGAATAAAGAACTTAGCACATCCTTGGAACATGTTAAATCCTAGATACATTATGTCTATTTATCTATTGTTGATAATTTTTTTAAAGTATAGTATGATTGCTTTTTCTATAAAAATGGATGTCAAAGCGAGAAAGGACAAAGAAGAACGAAATATATATATGCAGGAAATACCGTTTCATTTTTAAATGCAATATTGTGAGAAAAAACATTTTATGGAACATGAAATACTAAAAAAGACCTGTAGATAAAATGTATCTAATTGATTAGAAGCAAGGCAATATACTGCAAAAAATTTGTTTATGGACCTGAAAATGAAATAAATATTAACTTCCTTATTCATTGAAGATATTATTTTTATTTACTTATTTTTATTTTATTTTTTATTGTTGAAAGTATAACAGATGTCCCTCTTTTTCCCCATTGAATCCACGACACTTTATCCAGCAAAGCTATCATTCAAAATAGAAGGTGAAAGAAAGAGCTTCACAGAGTATATTAGCACCACACCAGCACTGCAAGAAATGTTAAAAGGACTGCTGTAATAAACAGAGACAGAAACATAGCCATAATAAATAAAAATGGTATCAATAAATAAGTGCATATCAATAATAACCTTAAATGTAAATGGGAAGATATTCTTTTTAAAAAAATTAGAATGTTTTCAGAAGAGAAAATGAAGATGTAATTCCTACAAAAAGAAAGTTGGTGATTCAAAAAAATACACTGGAATAAATACATATCGAAAGAGCTACATAATTAATCAAACCCCACAAAACAGAATTTATTAATATATCTCAGAAGTGATTTACCATGAAAGCACTCAATCAATAATAAAATGTTTGTAAAACACTATATTCCCACATTTGAAAATATATTTGAAATAAATGGTTTTGAGAATAATATAAATTATCAAAATTTATTCTGGAGAGATAGGAAAACTAAATGAACCAATAGGGTCTAGAAAAAAAACCCAGAAAGTTTTACTAACTCTTTAGGAAATCATATGATCCAGAACCATGCTGTCAAATAGAAATATAATGCCCATCACAAATGCATATGTAACTTTAAATTTTCTAACAGCCACACTAAATATGTGAGACAGAACAGGTAATATTAATTTTAATATGTTTTATCAAACAACATAGGGGCCATGAATAAGGATTATCATGTCAATGTGAAGTCAATATAAAATTTATTAATTTTATTTTGGGGGATAGTCAGTCTTTAAAGTCTCAGGTGCATTTTGCAATTAAAGTATATTTCAGCCTGGCTCATGTGGCTCAGTGGTTGAGCGTCGACCCACGCACCAAGAGGTCGCCGGTTGGATTCCCAGTCAGGGCACATGCCCATGTTGTGGGCCCAATCCCCAATGTGGGACATGCAGGAGGCGGCCAATCGATGTTCTCTCTCATTGATGTTTCTATCTCTTGCTCCCTCTCCCTTCCTCTCTCTAAAAAAAAATCAATAAAAAAAAAATTTTAGAAAAAAAGTATGTCAACTGAGTTGCTAAATTTTCATCAGAAATATTTTATCTGTGTATTTAGATTTTATATAAATTACAAAAAGTAGACTTACATATCGAGATTGTTCCAAAAACACTTAAAAGTTTTCCAAAACTGAGATGAGTGTCCATATTTAATAGAAAATTAAATTAAAAATAAAAATAAGATATAAAAATTCAGAAATTTAGTTCATCTATCTTACTAGCCACATTTCAAGTGCATTGGACAGAACTCATTCAGAGAATTTCTTAGCCAAGTTCTTTTCAAATAACAAAGAACAGACAATGTCTGTGCTAGGTGAAGAGCCTTAGAACAGAGAAGAATGGGCGCCTCTCTATTTTTACAAAGTTAGCATAATCCTCATACCAAAACCTGACAAAGCACACAAAACACATACATATACAAACAGAGTGAAAATTATAAGTTGATGACATTTGTTATTTAATAATATAGATGCAAAAATAATTCCAATAATACTAGCAATAAAGAGCTAAAGTATATTAAAATAATAATTCAGCATGTCTGCAACATGTAAGCCTCAATTATTCTGACCAAGCAAGACACATCTTCTATTAACTTAAAGCAGATTTTTAGTAGTTAGGCAAGATCCCACCTCCTTAAAGATGTCTGGAATAAGCTCAGCCACTCTCTTTTCTGGTATCATCAGTTGAAACTGAAGCTAGAATTCTCCTGCTCCTCACATATACATCAGGGATCTTGATCTGTGTCATTATTTTCATTAAAGCTCTGTACTTTCTTCTCCCTAACTGAGCTCCCACCACTTTTCACTTACCAAAACCCTTCACTGTGACCTCTTGTTACTGCCTCTCCATAAGTGGCAAACTCCCTTATCTGTCCAATATGTCCTCTGAGTTTCTGCCTCTTAATAGCTGGGGCTCTACTCCGAGGATATGGCTGCTGCTGTGCTTCTCAAATGGCAGGTATTCCTACATCAGCTCAGGCAATGAGTTTGATGCCTTACGTACCCACCATGGCCACTTCCAAACCATTTTTCCTGCAGCTTCTTGTAAACAAAGAGAACTCTTGTAACACCTGCCCCTTTCAGCTTTCAAGAGCATCTTTCCTCTGTGTTCGTTGCTCTCCTTTACCAACCTTTCTCTTGTTGTTCAAATCTGTTGATGCCTGCCTCACACTCTTTCTCCCACTCCAAGTCCTGCTCTTCCTTCCTTATACTATCAGCCTGGACAGCCCTGCTCACACCATGGCCAGCTATTTCCATGAATTCATCTTCAGTGATCGGTTCATGAACAAAGGAAGTTCAAGAACTTCACATCATAACTGCTCCACTTCCAAAGCTCCCGAATCACATCTGACCACAATTCTTTCTTTTACCTGTTTGTCTTTCAGCAACTCCAACCAATCTTGCACCTTTAAAAGGCCTCCCTTGACCTTCTCCCCTCCACTTTTCCTCACTCTTTCAGTGGTCTTTCACCATTTTCCTTGTCCAGCTAAGATTTTGTCATGTATTATTTCATACTGCTTATGAGTTTTAGTCAACATTCATCTGGTAAAAGTTCAACTCCTGTTCTGGGCTGTATGCACATGGTAGATGGAATATCCAATCATCAAGCTCAAGTGTGCTACTACCAATGCCTGTGCCTGGCATCCTAAGATATTTCTCTAGCACCTTGGTCTTTACTTTCAATACAATTCACAGGAGACTTAGTTGCTTTTCCACTGACAAATTGTTAAAAATATTTTTGATGATAGATTAATATACAATTTTATCAAATAACTCAGGAGTTCAAAAAATTGAGCAATATTGCTAACTGAAACTTTTCTCACCCCCATCTACTTGATTTATGTGAAAATAATTCTCATCACTTACTTCTGTAAAAATAAAATTAAAAAAAACTTTGATGGTATTCATAGTTCATTCATTCTACCAAGTAATACTTGTCTATAGATATATTTATCTAGTCGGAGTAAACACAGCCTTTTAATTTCACATTTAATAAATTACCTTTCAACGTGTGTAATATATATTTTTTAATTTCCTTATGGTCCCAGGAAATTTTAAATGTTTAAATTTATGTGCACAAATTTTATTGCACTGGTTGACCAATAAAAGACGTTCAAGTGCAAAAACTAGATTGCATTAGCACAACTCTGTAAGGAAAGTAGAATATAATTAGTAATTCAAGAGAAAAAATGGGTTATATAGCATTTTAGATCATTAAAGTGGAGCTAGCTCATAATTTTTAGAAAATAGGTTAAGGTAGATATCAAATCACTATATTTTCACTCCATCAAATACATTTTAAAAAATAATATCATAGTGTCCATCAAAGATGAATAGATAAAGAAGTGGTGCATATATGCAATAAAATATCAATCAGCCATTTTAAAAAAAGTGAAATCTTGCCCAGCTGGTGTGGCACAGCGGATTGAGCATCATCCCATGGACTAAGAGGTCCTGGTTCAATTCCTGGTGGGGGCACATGCCTCAGTTGCGGGCTCAGTTCCCAGTGAGGGGTGTTCAGGAGGCAGCTGATCGATGTTTCTCTCTTATATCAATGTTTCTATTGCTCTCTACCTTCCTCTCTTCTAAAAAAATCAACAACAATAATAATAAAAAGAAGTATCATCTGTAACGATATGAATGGACCTAGAGGGTGCTGTGGTGAGTGAAATAAGTCAGACAGAGAAAGACAAATACCATACAATTTCACTTACATGTGGAATCTAGAAAACAAAATAAACAAACAAGCAGTCTGGAAACAGCTTCTCACACAGGGCCACCCAGGCAGTAATTGTTGAGTGAATACATGAA